GGCATTAGGGTACACTGTGCACCAGTGTCCACTAGAGCTTTTATACTGCTGTGCGTCTGATGTGCCAGGCCATTGAATCCACACAGTCCATCAAACCTGGTCGCCTCTTTCCTCCACCTAACTTGGAGGCAGGGCCCCTCTAGTTCTGGTCATAGTTTTCATTACTTGCTTCTTGTAAATATGAATGAGAAGTCCCTTTATTGAGATCAGGGGAAAGATCAGCCCTTTTACTCTGTCTGGGGAACTGCTCGCTGGAAAGTGGAGCAGCAATTTTCGTGGAAGAACCCCTTTTTGTGATTGTTTTTCCTTGCAACTTATGTACCCGTGCTGCTAGAGTCAAGGTAGATTTTCTGTCCCGCTTCCTCATGTCCTCTCCATGGTCACACAGGTAAAACCACACAGTGGCCCCTGGTGCACATCCACTATATCCTCTCTCTTGGGTATTGGGATGCCTAGTCCTAATGGCTGAGATAGTGGTCTGTACAGGGGGGGAGTAGGACATATCCTCTTTGCGTTGCTGGAACTCTCAGGACAGTTTTTTGGACAGTCTTTCCACAGCTGAGACACAGGCCCATAGGGAGGACGAGAGACTTTCTTTGTATTGCCGGAGTTGGCCAGCCAAATCTTCCACCATCTGTTTCTCTCAGTCTTTCCAGATCATTACTGCCAATGAGTTTGCATGCAATGATGGTGCACTCCGTACAAACTTCTGCCACGCGGGTCGTGCACCTGACTTCATCTGGATCTTTGAATAACTGCTTGTTGTTCAAGTCACTATAAATCATCTCCAACATGGCTAATTCTCTCAGGTACTGGACACCTCTCTCCATGGTGGTCCACTTGCCTGAATGACATATAACATCTTCCTTGAAGAGATACCTCTCCTTCACACCTGACAGGAGTCGCCTCCAGAGGCTGAGGGCTTGTGCCCCTTTTCCAATCACTTTGTCAATGCTTCCTTCCCTAGAAAGGGATGCCAGCTGCTTGTCTTCCCTACCCTGTAATTCCAGGCTACTGGCCCCATTATCCCAGCATCAGAGCAGCCAGGTGACAATGTGATCGCCTGGACGATCACTGAAATCTTTTTGCAATATCTTGCAGTTCACTCAGGGATAGGGATTGGGTGGTTACCGTCTCATTTATGGGTTCTGTCTCTTCCTCCTCCTGATGGCCCTGGTTCATCTTCATCCCTTACTAAATGCGCCGATCTTCTTGTGTATAGGGGTGACTGATACTGGCACCGGTTTGTTCTCCAGTTCAGCCACAGTGTCGTTTGCTGGAGTTTGAGTAGCTGCAGTGTTCGTCACTAGGATTAGAGTCACTGCAGCACCTGTCGTGGAGGTTTGAGTAGATACATGGCATATCATGGTGGTTGGAGTAGCTGCAGCACCTGTCACTGGGGTTTGAGCAGTTGCAGTGCATGTTGCTGAGGTTTGAGTGGCCACAGTGCCTGTCGCAGGGGTCGGAGTGGCCACAGTGCCCATTGCAGGGGTTGATCTCTGAATGATATTCTTAAATAGCTGTTTAACCCTCAACAAGACCTGAACCACATTCAGGAGATGCAGCAGTAGGAGGATGCTTGTTTGACCATCCCAAGGATATTCAAAATTCTCAAGAGCTGTTGTAACTATCCTGAAGGAGAAAGGGATGGTGAAGGAGCCAGGGAAAGTGTCCCCCTCTGTCTTCCCAATAGATCAGTTCTCCAAGGAGTAGAGGTAAAAAGTGTAATAGTTGCTGAGAAATGGCTCCCGAAGTACAGGAATGATGGTAGTGCTGAGTACAATCTCATGACCAATAATTTTATCATACCATAAACCAGTGTTAAACAGTACACCAAAGTGGTAATTTAATCCAGCTCCCAGAGGTGATAAACAGCACCACAGGGAATGTGGCAAGTAAGGTGTTAAATAGCACAACTCTGAAAACAAGCACAACAACTCTGAGAGCAAATGAATCAACATTGCGACCAGTGACTATTAAACTAATATAATGAATGCTTATCACAAATTTGTTTTAACATGCTCTGGTCAGATCTGTTGCTATCTCAAAACCCTTTGTGCCCCACAAGGGCGCCAAAAGGGACTGTTGTGGTTTAACCCAGCAAGCAGCTAAATACCACACAAACATTTGCTCACTCTCCCCATCCCGAGTGGGATGGCAGAGAGAACTGGGAAAAAAGTAAAACTCCTGGGTCGAGACAAAGACAGTTTAATAGGACAGCAAAGGAAGGGAAAATAATAGTAATAATCATCATCATCACAATATACAAAACAAGTGATGCACAGTGCAATTGCTCACCACCTGCTGACTGATACCCAGCCAGTTCCTGAGCAGTGATTGCACCCTCCCGGCCAACTCTCCCCATTTTATATACTGAGCATTATGTCTTACAGTATAGAATACCCCTTTGGTCAGTTTGGATCAACTATCTTGGCTGTGGCCTCTTGCAGTTTCTTGTGCATCTGGCAGAGCATGGGAAGCTGAAAAAGTCCTTGACCAGAGTAAGCACTACCTAGCAACATCAGTGTGTTATCGATGTTATTCTCAAACTAAATCCAAAACACAGCACTACTCCAGGTACTAGGAAGAAATTTAACTCTATCCCAGCCAAAACCAGGACAACATACATAATCTTTTCCTAACTAAAAGCTATGTAGACACTCAGAAAGACTACTGAGAGATCCTGCGTTGTTTGTGCTAGGTGTAGATTATACCCCAACAACTGCCAGTACATGCCTACTTACTCATGATTCCACATTCATGTTTTCAATAGCTAATATATATTTCTCCAAATATTTCCTAATATTTTTAAAGTTACCTTGATATAAGAAAGTGCATCAAACATTTCTTCAATTTGCTCTGAAGACTGAACAGCAGAAGAGACTGGATATGAAGAATTCAAGGAATCCTTCATCATAGCCTTGAAAATCAAATTAAGAAAATCTTCATCCTAAAAGAGAAACATTTATAAGTGTCTGAGAAGCTAAAATATACAGGGTAAGCAAAGCAGTAAAAGTTGTCTCTGCTTTGCTCTTCCATTCGTCTAACATGCCATTGCTTGCCTCCCTGCCAATGGAGGCAGCAAAAGAATTGTCAGGGTTGCATTTGTAAAATCTACTCTTTTCCTGCCATGGCAGTGGAAAAGCAGTGGAATCCCACTCTTGAGTTTACATCATTATCTAGACCCTTAAGCTCCTGTCTCAGGCAAATGCATCATTGGTACTAGAGAAAATAAATGTACTTACGAAGTAAATATGTGCCCAGTTTGAGATTTGGCTCAACAATGTTTTCACTTCATTTACAGGAAGCAGAGAATAGAAAAGCATGACTTCTTTAGTATGCTTTTAATATTAAAGCATGAAATCTAGGGAAATTACTCACTGCAGTGATGTTTGTGTGAATGTAAACACCACCCTACCTACTGATCCTAGTACCAAAGTATCTTCCTTCTTTTTGAATGAAGATACTTGAATTTAATACATTGTTACTAGAATGAGACAATGCTGAACACTGAAAAGAAGCTGACTGTACTGATATTTGTCCATTTGATTTCATCAAGACTTGAACAAGCAACTCTTTATACAGTTTCCTCTATACAGTAGAGGATTACAAAAAAAAAAAAAAGGTAGGTAAGACCTATGGATGATACAATAAAGATAACCTTTCAAGTTTAACATTTTAAAGCTGTTCTTCTTGAATGCAGTTTGGAGTGATTTTTTTATTTTTACCGAAACACATTTTGGCACCCTCAAATGGTGAAAGGAGAGGGCACCTTGTCAGGCACCTTTCAGAATGAAGTATACAAGTGTTAGATGTGTCCTTGTTGAAAGATTAGACTAGTTTTATGTCCTCCCCTCAGCACACATGCACCCAACAAGCAGAATGGCTATACAAACATACTTTCGGTGGCCAAACTCAACAGCCAAGCTAGGTCAAATGAAAAACTTTTTAAACACCCAGCTCCAAGAAAGAATTCTACTGAACCAAGTTAGCAACCGAAGTTTCTTAATGTAGTAACAAGGGCGAATTAAGAACTCAAAACTTGGTGAGAATGCTGAGAACACCACAATCCAGCAAACAGTCAGTACACATCAGGTTTTTAGTCCCATGACTAATGTAAATCACAGAAATACTCCTGGAAGCTGGTTCCAGAGCCCAGGATGCAAAATTAGTATCTCCACTGCCCCCTCCATTTAGTTCCACTAATTTTTGTTTCTTTGCCTGCATTCAGTGACAGGAATGCTTTACAGCAGTAGCTGGTATCCCTTCTTTGGAGAGGAAAGATCGAGTTTGAATCCTTCATGTTTTCCAGAGTCTAAGAAGCTAGGTCACTTAGTACAAAAGTGAGTTTTTAATGATCACTAGATTATTATATCAAAAAGATTCTATTCTTTAGCCATATATGTAAACAGAAGTACCTGTGGGACAAATGTTTTGTACTATTAGTGTAACTCAGTGAAGTGATTGCTGGAGGTGACTTAGACACCAGACGTAGATTTACGATTACAAGACAGGTACAGCATTGAAGAAGCTCTCTGGATGGAATGCAGCTGGATGCAAGGAGTCTATCCAACAGAAGTTCCTAAGCCTGTAACCTTGGATGTCGCAACCCAGGGGAGCCTGGTGTGCTGATTCTGAGAGGAGCTGCCCAGGGGGTGGAGTGGTGTGGAGACATCACGGCCAAGCCCTGTGATAAGGGAACTCGAAAGGGCACCATGGTCCTGATAAGCTGCATAAGTGATACCCTGCGTCAGCAAAGTATCATGATGTTGACAAAAATGCTGTCCTTTAGTAACTTTTACTCATTATAATATCATTATAATACTAGAACACCCTCTACAAAACCACCCCCCCATCCAAAACCCCCCCCGCCTCCAAGGTAAGACCCCCCCTCACCGAGCCTGCGCTCTGAATTTTTCTGGGCCTGTACCTTTAAAACGAAGCGAGAAAGTTTTACACCAATCGTAACAAAAGTATGTATGACTAGAGTCCCTCAAACTCCACCTAATGTGTAAAAATACTATAAAATTTGCCTAAGGGAGAGGGGATGTTAGGGAAGACATCATCGTGTACTACTCTGACCTCTGGGATCAGTCGACGGGCTGAGCCTCTCTTCCCCCCCATCGGGACGCCTTTGGGTAAGAATCTAACACTTGGTTATACCAAGTGCCTCCGCAGGAAACTTACAAACCTCTATAGAGTCGCTTTTATATCTTTTGATGCATCTGTGTTATTCTAAACTTTGGTACTCGTAGGTGCCTTGCAGTCAGTGAATTTATCACCGGTAATCCAAAGAACCTGTGTGTCTGTTGCTTTAATAAATTGCTTTGATTTATTGCTCTAGCATGATAGTGGTCATTGAACACGACCAGACACTTTAAGTGTGGCCGTGATAGTTCATGCAGCACGACTAGACGAAAGGTGCCTACGTTATTTGTGAATCCGTAATCGTGATAGTTCAGTGTACTGAACGCGACCGGACTTATAACGATAAATTGGGTACCTTCCAAAGCCTCTCTTCATGCAACACTCAGTGCTATCAGAATCCATTGGGTGGGACCATATGATACTTTTATAACAGGTCCCCCGATTTGTGAATCCCAAACTGATTCAGACACAACTAGCACAATGATAGAAAAACAGGAGTTACTCCAGGCATACTTAGTAACCTAAAGCTCTGGTGCTTCCTAAGTCTATCAGGAATAGCAGAGACAGACATACTTGGTCAACCACACGCCTGGACTTTCTGTATAAAGATTTTAAGTTATAATTTGATATATAGTCACCTACACCTTTTAACACCTGCTATTTTGCACAGAATGCTTTAACCTACACAAAACACAGAGACTGCATGTAGACTATTACCAAAATAAAAAAAAAAAAACCACAAAAACAACGTACCCTCCCAAAGGCCCCCCGCAAAACCACTTCCAATATAATGAAAGCAGCAGAGCAGAGGAGACATGGTGCCCAAAGTGAATTTCAATAAAAGTCTATAAGTATCAATCCTTTATGGTCAGCATTAAAAAACAGATCTTAATGAAGGTACAGTAAGTGTAACTGAAGAAAGTACTTACTGAATGTAATTCTGGAAAAATCTCCTCCATGGCAAAGTACTCCATGAAAGTGGCAAATCCCTCATTCAGCCAGAGATCATTCCACCATTCCATAGTTACTAGATTGCCAAACCACTACAAAAGAACAAAACCATCATTCTTTTTCAGAAATAAAATCAAATGAGTATAGTAACACTCCATCCATCCTCAGCTTTATCTTGTGGCAAAACCAAGCTCAGTCAAAACCACAGTAATGCTTTTGCATGAACAACTCCCTAAGCACATCATGACAGAGCTGCACTCTGCATGTTGTACTGGAGCAAATGTACCTGCAGGTATTCTCAACAGATTCAATGCATAACCCAGTCACAGTGAGGGCTGCGGGTGAATTCAAGGACACAATTGCATTTAAAAAAAAAAACAAAACAAAAACACCACCAAAAAACAACCCACCATATTTAAACAATGACCTCCCCAATCTAGTACCTGATGGGCAAGCTCATGTGCTATCACTGCAGTTATTAACTTTTTATCCCTTGCTGAAGAAGTATTACTGTCGAACAAGAGTGTTGTTTCTCGGAAGGTGATCAAGCCCCAGTTTTCCATTGCACCGGACTGAAAATCAGGAATTGCTACCAGATCTGGAAAAGATTTGAAAGAAGCATTTGAAAACTGCTAGTTAAAGCAATTCTGTATTTCAAGTCTACCTATTCTATCACATAATCCCTAAAACCCTCATTATTTAAATCCTGTGGTGTGGACATGTGCTCACATCTCAAGCACAGAAGCCTCAGATTTATAGCCGTGTTTCTCTAGCAGTACTCTTACACAAACAACTTAAAACACTACACAGACACTGCCTATAGATCTTGTATGCACGCAAGTAATGAGGAAATGGGGCTGCCCCTACTGAAAGTAATATCTTAGAAGACTGCATTTCATTATCTTTCCAGTCGAACTAACATGTGCAGAGAAGTAAGGCTGCAGATTTTGCACTGGTCAACACTGTTCACACACCGAGAACTCTGTAGCTGCCTACCAAGGCACATCATGTTAAATTTACACAGAATTATTTCTTTGACGTTATGTAACAAATATAAGCAATCCAGTGTCAAAAGCTCACAAAAATTTTCCAGCTTAGGAATCACTTAATACTCAGTCAAACATTTAATGATTTTTTTTTTAATAATTTGGGAGGAACTGTATTTCACAGATGTTTTATGCTATCTTTTTTTTATTTAAGCACACCTTTTCAGAATGAAAATTCCCCTGCATTTCTCAGAATTGATTAGGGCTGCTTCTTCTGTTTAAAAGAAGTTCAAAAGAACTTACCTAATTTTTCAAGAGGGTAGTTTATTAAAAAGTATTTTTCATAAAATTCCAGAAGTTTCACTGCTGTGTTTAAGGCATACCCAACTTGGTTTAGGTGCTGTGGTGTGGCATAGACAGATACCTAGTCCAAACAGAGAAGATAAAAGATTTTGAAACATATAGCTACAAAAGCCTTAGAAGTAAAAGAGGAGCTGGCAGAAGTTCCTGAAACGGATACGTCAAGGTTTTGGGAGTACACACATAAGTTACAAACACAAGTTATGAAGCTATCAATAAAGAGTTCATTTTTTTCACTAGAGCTTATTCAATAGTCAAAATACAGACAGACTATCCAATTGACCAATGTGTATGCAAGAACAATTCAAGGCTGACACCTTTAAGGAAGGTGTTCAAGAAGGGTCTACAGGAACAGAAGTTGATCCATGTGGTTTTTTACTCCCTTGTGAGTTATTAAGTGACCCGTCCCTGCATACCTCAATTACTCTGTAAGTTTAGGCTATCAGTATGATAACACTACTATGATCTGCAAGAAAATCCCTCAAGAAATAATCATTGGCGCAAAGTCCATCCATTCCCCTGTCTAAGTTAGGGCCACATTAGACATGATCTAAGAAGCATTTACAAAAATTGAGAGCTTAGTCTCCCTCTATTCATGTTGAAGGGGCTAGATCAAGAAAGTAACTTTGATCAGGTTACAGGCTGATCCAGCTTTAGGACACCCTTTCATACACAAACACAAAATATTTTGAGACTAATTTTCCTGTTCTATTTAAAAAACCAACCAAACAAAAAAACCCCTTCCCTCTTGCTATGCTATGTATCAGTAAGCAAATGACATTTCAAATAGATGGATAGGGTTAATTTTTGAGTTTGAACCAAGCGTGTACCAGTAAGGATCTCAACTAGTGTTTGTGGAAGTACAAAAGTATTATTAGCTGAGAATTTTAAGCTCAAAACCAAAACATAAAAGCCCCTCAGGATCTTCTGGAGTTGAGAAAAATCTCATTACATTATGTACGGAAAGCAACTTTACTTCAGCTCTAAGCTATCTTATAACTTTCATGATAATAAACTTATTCTGTGTGAATAGGTGAGCTCAGATTCTTTGAATCTCCCAGCCAAAAATTGCTGGAAACATTTTGAGAACATATTTCATGGAAAATGTCATTATATGCTTCCTTCTTACAGCCTCCCTTGGCCTACTAGACACTGTTGGCAACAGAACAACCTACTAGCTAGATTCTGGCGTTACTTGGTATGACCATTCTTATGCTTTCTCCCTTTAAGCTGGCAAGTACTCTTATACATTGCTAGATCCTTGTGTTTGGTGCCCCCTTTGGTAGTCATGAAGGGGTGGGAGGCGGAAAAAAGTAGTGGTCTAACTTTTCAGGTTAGACCAAACAGTCTGTCCTATTCAGCTATAATTAGAAATATTTGTCCAAGTCACAATCAAAGTCTATCGACCAGTATCTTTACTTCTGTAGATTAGATTACTGCTTCTCCTGCAGTGCTACTAGCACTATTCTCTCTGGCTCTTTCTAGGTCGGTATTGGCACTTCTGACATTTCACCACAAAGGGGCAGTTCCTGCTAGAGAGTCATGAAAATCATTGCTCACATGAAACTCCTGCACCTCCTAAAATAATTAAGGAGCATCTCCTAATATTACCATGTTTTTTCTTTAGTTACTTTAATTACACACTGACCCCGCAGGCCATATCCCTGCAAAAGACAAAGATCAAACAGGACCAACTAGAAAAACAAAAACCTCACAATTACAATTGTATTCAAGCAAATAAATGCAGACTTAGTGTTAGTATAAATTTTCTTTACTGAAGGGCATGGGGTTTTTTCCTAAAAGAAGGTTATCTTTGCAGGTATAGAACAAGCAGCACTGCTTGAAATAGTATTTAGGCTTCCCTGGAAACTAATGTTTCTGTACATCATCTGAACAACTCTTGGTTTACATGATATTACTCCCTCACAGGCGAAGCATTAAAACTAAAAGTTTAAAGCTTCCAGCTCCAAAGGCTCTTAGGAATTTTACATTTTGTAAATGTCCACTGTTAACAAGACCTGATGCCAAGTCCCTTGCTGTAAAAATCTTCTCAGTCTGGTGTAAGCCCTGAAGTCAGTCCAACCTACAGCATATGGCTTTTGTCCACTACCTATGATGAGTATAAGAAAACCAAGAAAATAAATAAAGTTAAAAGAGACAGAGTTTGCTTATTGGTTTGGGGATTTTTTTGTTTTGTTTTGGTTGGCTTGTTGGCTTGGGAGGGGTGAGGGAGAAATTAAAGTGGAACAAACGTACCAGACTCCCATTAATTTCCCTACTGATGTTTTTCAAGTCTGCGACAACGAAGGCCACTAAGTAGGTGCTCATCTTCAAACTCACAAAAAACTCATCTTGAACAATTCCATTTGTCACAGGAGTAGTAGCTTTCTGCAGGTGAAAGGAAAACATTGTTATCAATGCAGGCAAAAGAACACTAAGGCATGCAAGGAATCAATGTCAAATCAAATAATTACTTCATGCTAGGAACAGTTTATAAGCAAACTTGCAGAAAATCTTTATATTTTGCTTATCTTTCAGTAGGATAGATGATATTCACAAGCTACTCATAGTGTAACAAAACTGAAGAAGACATGGAATATTTAAGCCTATATACCCAAAAATTATTTGTCAAGCTTTTATCACACAGTATTGCCAGACAAGTGCATTGTTGGAGAAACCATCAATCTAATTTAGTTCACACTTAAACCCCCAATATTAATCCAAAGTCAACATAAAGATTAGCATTAATTCAAGAGAGCTTTAGGCTAGATCAGAGACACAGTTCAGCATAGGCTACTAAAAATACTGGTATTACATTAGTTAAACATTTCTCTCTTCCCAGACACCTCTTCGAAGTTAGGTAACCAGACATACTCATTATTTTAAAACAACAGAACAAAAAACTCCCTCACACACCATCTTACAAAGCAAAAGAGATTGCGTTTTAAAAAGTGAAGACATAACATAAAGTTTCAGTTAGTTCAAAGCAAAAATGGGCCCATCTTAAACACACACTGCCAAAAGTAACTGTCTGCTCAGTCTGCTGAAGTAAGATACCATAGTATATCTTAAATTACTTTTAGTACAGAAGTTTTTCATTAATATTAGTCCTGGAAAGGCATGCTATATGCCTAAAAGTACTTTTCTGTATAGTTCTTCACAAACATAAATTACATAAAGAATAAAGCAAAATCTTTAAAACCACTGTAGTGCAGAATAGTAAAGGTCTGGAGACATGAATGGCAGTTCATGTGCCATCTGAAACTTCATAAATAACTTTGTTTCCAGAAACCACAAACATTTAAAAAACAACAACAATAACTTTAATTTTAGACAAGATCATTTCAAACCAAACAATGATTTAACTGCCACTGAAAATTTAACTGTCAGTCTTAAAGAGGAATAGATTTTTAAGCCTGAAGATATAATCAATATAATCATCTAGTTTGACCACTGTCTATGAACAGAATGCCATCACTGAATTCCTTCAGTGAATTCATAAATTTCTGCTTTTACTACAGCCTCATCTTCATAAAGAGGTAACACCTCATTTATAGAAAATGATGAAGTTCACATTTAACTCACATTTAACCTTCTCTTGGACAAACTAAAAAGTCTCTCCATCCAACACAGCTTGTTACCAAGGCCTGTAGTTATTACAGAAGAATCTGTACAACTTTTTTTCGTAACAGGGGTTTGTTTAAGTGTTTATTTTCAGAAGTGTGCCTATCCTAGTAATGATCTCACCAACACAATATACCTCTATACAACATGATCTTCTCATTCACTTTTCAGTTTTATTTCTTTACGCGTACAAGAATCAACTCACTAGCCTGTACTTATTGCATGGGGAGCCCACATTAGCTAACAGAATACCTACTCCAGGCTAAGTCTAAAATGTAAGAATTCAGCATGTACTAGAGCACTTGTGAGATCAGGGACAAAAAACATGAAACAAATCATAAAAACGTGCCAATTAAAAGAAGCTTTGCAAATAAAAATGGGTACCATTACAAGAGAACTCACTGATACAAGAAATGCTGTTCAGGTAGCATACTAAGGCACAAAAACTCTTGTGCCTAATTTCTTTATTTATATAGTCACAAAAATAAGGATTTTATTGTAATTCACACATGCAAGTTGTCTTGACAAATTACAAAACCCAAAGGAACCACTTCTGAATCCATTAACAGACCGCATGTTTGGATCTCATACAACAAAAGAGGAATTACACAGTATCAAATTATCAGGGCATAACGTTGGGGGACAAAACAAAAGAAAACAATATTGTTTGTAGTTGTCGTGGTTTAGCCCCAGCCAGCACTAAGCACCACGCAGCCGCTCGCTCACTCCCCCTACCCCGATGGGATGGGGGAGAGAATCGGAGGAGTAAGAGTGAGAAACACTCCTGGGTTGAGATAAGAACAGTTTAATAATTGAAATAAAGGAAAATAGTAATGATAATAGTAACAATAAAATAATAATAATAATAATAACAACATACAAAGCAAGTGATGCGCAATGCAATTGCTCACCACCCACCGACAGATACCCAGACAGCTCCTGAGCAGCGAGCACTGCTCCCCAGCCAACCCCCCCCAGTTTATATACTGAGCATGACGTTACGTGGTATGGAATAGCCCTTTGGTCAGTTTGGATCAACTCTTCTGGCTGTGACCCCTCCCAGTTTCTTGTGGCCTGGCAGAGCATGGGAAGCTGAAAAGTCCTTGACTAGCATAAGCAGTACTTAGCAACAACTAAAACATCAGTGTGTTATCAACATTCTTCTCCTACTAAATCCAAAACACAGCACTGTGCCTGCTACTAGGAAGAAAATTAACTCTACCCCAGCTGAAACCAGGACAGTAGTATAAACACAAATGAGTAATTATCCTGGAGATACTGTCCATTAGCAAAACTATCAATTCACTTTCTCTGTATGTTCTTATACCTTCTTGATAAATTCTAATTAAACCTGACCTTTTCTTTTGACACAAGAACTTGCATTTGATCCCCAGCACTAAACATACAACTTAATTGCTTTTAATGTCTTTTTTTAATATTATCTTTGTTCCACATCTGGAACCTTTCTCAAATCTTTATCAATCATATAGATGGTGTAACAGCAAAGTTTTAAAACAGAGATGAAAATAACAAAAGAAAATGCAGATGAAATTTTTAACATGCTCTTAAACACATTCTCACTGTAACAAGCTCAGTAAACTTTACAAAAAGAGTGGACAAACAGGAAGTTCAGTGAAAAGGGTCTGATACCAAGAACAAATGCAGCAAGACAGAGAAGGGTTTATAAAGTAGAGAACCAGATGATTGAAAAGCCTGACAAGATGGGAAGGAAGGAGAATTCTCAGCTTGAAGGAAGTACATGACCTTCTGCCTATGGCACCTATAGATAGCTGAGCAGAAGACATGCAGTATACAAGGCAGAAGATGAAGAAGCAGATCTGAAGGTAATTCAAGTGGTATGACAAACAGTAGGCGGGAATCAAAACACCAAAAAGAGACGCAAGAGAGGCAACACATAATTTAAAAGGTGCAGGAGTGGTACAAGTTATTGGAAGAACAATTCTATGCAGAAAAAGATGAGTAGGAAAAAGATGTTTTTTCTATGCAGAGAAAGATGAGTAGGAAAAAGATGGTTTTTCTATGCAGTACAGGAGCAGGCAAACAGTATATATCTAACGTGACTAATAAGGAAAATTCCTAACACCAATGTTTAAGATGATACAAATGTGCAATACCAACCCACTTATCACTGCAAATAGAATGGGTACAAGCCATTTTTCAAGTGGCTTCCTATCTCCTTGACAAATGAGCAATGCAATGAATGCTACTCTGCAGCAAGAAAGGCTAGAACTTAAATGTAAATGGGTCATGAAGTAAGGAGGAAGAAAGAGATGCATTAATGACCTTACAGTAAAGGCAACTCATGTTTTCTCTGTATGGATGATTCCTCATCGTGCACACATGTGAAGTACACAACATTAGTATCCACAGACAGCACCAGAAGAGCTACTGGATGCTTTGTGACAGCACTTGGAGTTGAGCAGGGACAGATGGGAAGGGGAGCAGCTCCTTCCTAAGCACAGAACCCCACAGGCACATACTTTGCAGGACTGCCAATGCAAGGCAGAAGTTATGGGCAGATGCAAGACTAAGGCAAGTAACAATATGTATTTTTCAGGTTTAACTCACATGTCCTGAGGTGTGAGAGTCAGCTATTTCCAGACAAATTAGAGGAAGATCCTCTGGCAACAAATAATAACTTACTAAGCAAGAAATGCAGAGTTGCCCTTTCAGGCATGTTTGTTGGACCAGTTAAGTCACAATTCTTGGCAACACAGAGCTTGAGCTCCAAATTGCTTCTCTGCACATTCCCTCAGGAAAGCTGAAAAGCCTGCTCGTATCTACTGACACTAACTGTTGACTGCATCAAGTGACACACTTGCAGAGTTTGCAGGAAGATGCAATCTGAAATATCACAGTCTCGCCAATGCCACAAACACATACAGCAGTTTCCCAGATTACTTCTTCCTGTCCATGCAAAGTTGCATAAACACCTTGCACAAAAGACATGAAATCTGAGTGATATCATAGGGCAAAGTAAGAAAGGTAATAGGCTAGATTAAATGACTCGACAAGGCATTTACCATAGAAGGCAGCTTGGAGGTGCTGCACAAGCACACATGGTGGGAAAAAACAAAGAAAGTAGATATGCCTGCTGCTACTGTGAGGGCCCTTGTTTATTCTTCTGTAGAAGTGTATTATCACAATGGGCACAGCAGACATACTAAAGGGCAGCAGGCAGGTAATTGCTACCGAAACAGCAGCATCTAGCAACCCCAGGAAACACCCTCCTTGCTCTTGAATTGTCCCCAACCGTTTTCCTTCAATAGCCAACCACAAATGACAGTGAAGAAGACTTGATGGTTATTTTTTTTCCTCCACTCCATCTCCCAATCATTATCAGTGAAGCTGGCAACCAAGGCACTAGATGCCAGAGGTATACCAGATAATTCTGTCTCAACTAATAGGGATGAAAATTGTCACAGAATATCCTTTCTCATCTTCTTAATAATGATGTCATCAGAGCAAAAAAACATACAGAATACACTGGGATTAGGGTAGCAGTAAACATTCTATGGTAGTGTGGTGCAGTAGAAGAGCTGAAAACAAAAATACTCTTGGTCTTTCAGAAAACCCATCAGTGTCTTTCAGAGTTTCCATCATCTGTGGAAGGTATACTGAAGAATAGGATAGCAACTATGTGCAATTAGCTCAGCAACGTCTCCTGCACACATGCAGCAATGTAAACCATAGTTTACTTTTTGTACATGAAGAACTATGGAAGCTGTTGAAAGTCGCCATAGCCACTTTAACTCCTAGCAGAGGAAAGTGAGTGAGCACCCTTTCTTGTTTACATAAAACAGGAGAGCTGTACAGCAGAGTCTGTTTCTTCTTTCAGTATAGAAAAGATCAGCAAATAAACTGATCTTAGGCCTGGACATAAGCTAAAGTGCTGCAATCCTGCTAAAGTAATGGTTGAGAATGACCACAAATCCAGGAACATAAAAGTTCGTGCACTATGATAAAGATACCATTTCACAAGGTTGCAGTTATTAGTTTTGTTTTCAAAAACAGGGTGGCTACATCAGCACCTGAGCTTTTGACAGCCTTCTGGAACCCAAACTGCACACTGTACATGTGCGTCCCACCAACACCAAGGGTGTAATTTTTTTCATTACTGACTAGATCAATGTCAATATTAAATGAGTTTCTGTTGGGTGATAAATAGTGGTAATGTTTTGATCAGAGAGGTCCTAGTTCAGACACAGACCAGGTAGTAAGTTGGTCTTGCTGGTCTGTCTAAATGAATTAGGCTTCTATAAAGGTTTCTCCAAAGGCTTAATGGCATAAAGCATCACCATAAAATTCAGATATGCTCTTACTATATTTTGCCTGAAAAGACCTAGCTGAAGGAATTTCAGATCCCTTTCATATTATGGGGTTGACTCTGTATTCACAACCTACTTACCCTTGTTTAGGCTCAAAAGCACATCCTTCAAGATTAGGCATATCTTTCACAGAGACTGTTGCTAGTTACACAAACTATTGATAAAGATAGTCCAGTATTCTGCACATTTGCAGTATCAGCAAACATAGAAAATTCAAAAGAGAATCTTATGGGCTGTTGAGACTGATGTAGCCAACAACAGAACTGCAAAATAATGCCTCATTTAAATTCAAGAGGAATTCCTCCCATAGCCATTCAGCTGTCCCTACAATAAAATCCTACACTGTGCAGTGCAATGAACAGTTGTTTTCTCTACAAAGTTACTTAGTTCAAGTCTCTGTGGAAGAGAAATTTGTTTTATAATAAAGTCATACAGTTTATAGCTTGTCTGCTCAGTCAATCCCCTGGATGTTAAATGCAACAAAAACACAATGAAAAGCACTTAAACAGATTACCTAGGCAGCAGCTCTACTAAAATTCCTCTACAAAAGCAGGTACCTTTGGCATATTTGACAGAGTGGAAAGTTTCTCATCTCTTCTGATCTTGATTAAAAAAGTAGCTTTAAATGCTGGTTCATCAAAGCACGGAAAAGCAGACCTTGCTGCCAGAGGTTCAAACTGAGTTGCGGCAAACCACCTAATGGGAAGAGCAGAGAAGAGCAAATTAAGAATTATGAAAAAGATAAATGTCAGTTTATTTATGACAGAACAGTCATTTCCCCCCAAACCTTGTAACAGCTTGTTATGGGATAAGTGTTCTGAATGGCAGATGACAGGGTTGGTCCAGTCAGAATAAATGTTTCATTAACAAAACGGTTTTTAAAACCCCAAAAATGTATTTATTTGAGGACTAATCTGCTTGGCTGTTTTTTGCTTTCTTAACAAAGAAGAATACACCTGGAATAACACAATTACAGAACAATCACCAAAAGATAAGCCAGCCAGTTTCCAGTAAGAGGGAACAAAAAGGAGACTGAAAAATTAAATTAGTGAGCACACCCAGTAAATGAAAGTTTTGAAACCTCAGCAGCAGATGGGACTACAAGGAAGCTTTTTCATCTAATTGTCATGCTTTCTCCTGCAGATATTCCCAGAGTTCATCTAACTGTAGTAGATAGATTCTGTGTAAATTTATGCACTGTCTTGTCTCTAATCCAATGGCTAGTCATATCACACGAGAACTTCTTAAAGTCTGCGTTCCTTCTCAAGTATTTTGATACTAACTAGCTGCAGAAACTACAGTTTTTCCTAGAGAGCATCTCCAGGAATGTCTGCTCCTGCAAGACAGCCCTGATTCACATAGTTTTTTTGTTTTTTAAACCTACTGCCAAGCTACACATAAGTTTTTGGGGTTTTTCTTTTCTTCTGCACCATGACTCCAACATTTTTGGACCTACAACTTTTTTGAGGAGGCGCACTGCTGACAATTCATAACATTAATCTCTACGCTTGCTTTCAACTTCTTACTCTTCTCTTCCCCCTCACTGACAATCTTGAAGTTGGTGCAGTAAGTTTATTTTTCTTTTTTCCTTCACCCCAAGATTTTACAGAAGAAATACAAAAAATAAAGAACCGTTCTGCATAAAAATATAAATAAGGCCCAACTTTTTTTTTTTTATTTGCATCTGGCAACACTGAATTATTCTGCCATTTGATAATTTTAATATTTTTGTGGCAATATAAAAAAATCTTCAAAAGAAAATAAAACAAAACTAGGAGAAAAACCATTAAGAAAATGTCCTGCAAAACCTGCAAAAGCAGGTTGATAGCTTGAGTTTTATACAGAAAATGCAATAACAACAGAGGTTGTCCAAGTGGCCTGCATTTGTAAAACATGTATGACATTAAGCATACAGAGACAAAGCCACTGAAAAATAGAAGACGCAGTCAAGGTGTCCTGGTTTCGGCTGGGATAGAGTTAATTTTCT